ACCACCTATTCCATATACTTGCAACATCTGCCACATTGCTCCTCTATCCACTCTATCATATGCCTTTTCTAAATCCATAAATGCAATAAAAACTTCCCTACCTTTATCTAAATACTGTTCACATATATGCTTCAATGTAAACACTTGATCTACACATCCCCTACCCACTCTGAAACCTCCTTGCTCATCCGCAATCCTACATTCTGTCTTACCTCTAATTCTTTCAATTATAACCCTACCGTATACTCTTCCTGGTATACTCAGTAAACTTATTCCTCTATAATTTTTACAGTCTCTTTTGTCCCCTTTCCCTTTATATAAAGGGACTATACATGCTCTCTGCCAATCCCTAGGTACCTTCCCCTCTTTCATACATTTATTAAACAAAAGTATCAACCACTCCAACACTATATCCCCCCCTGCTTTAACATTTCTGTCATGATCCCATCAGTTCCACCTGCTTTACCCCCTTTCATTTTATGTAATGCCTCACGTACCTCCCCCACACTTACATTCTGCTCTTCTTCACTCCTAAAAGATGGTATACCTCCCTGACCAGTGCATGAAATTACTGCCTCTGTTTCTTCCTTAACATTTAAAAGTTCCTCAAAATATTCTCACCATCTACCTAATACCTCCATCTCCCCATCTACTAACTCCCCTACTCTGTTTTTAACTGACAAATCCATACTTTCCCTAGGCTTTCTTAACTTGTTTAACTCACTCCAAATTTTTTTCTTATTTTCATTAAAATTTCTTGACAGTGCCTCTCCCACTCTATCATCTGCTCTCCTTTTGCACTCTCTCACCACTCTCTTTACCTTTCTTTTACTCTCCATATACTCTGCTCTTCTTATAACACTTCTGCTTTGTAAAAACTTCTCATAAGCTACCTTTTTCTCTATCACACCCTTTACTTCATCATTCCACCAATCACTCCTCTTTCCTCCTGCCCCCACCCTCCTATAACCACAAACTTCTGCCCCACATTCTAATACTGCATTTTTAAAACTATTCCAACCCTCTTCAACCCCCCCACTACTCATCTTTGCACTAGCCCACCTTTCTGCCAATAGTCGCTTATATCTCACCCGAACTTCCTCCTCCCTTAGTTTATACACTTTCACCTCCCTCTTACTTGTTGTTGCCACCTTCCTCTTTTCCCATCTACCTCTTACTCTAACTGTAGCTACAACTAAATAATGATCCGATATATCAGTTGCCCCTCTATAAACATGTACATCCTGGAGCCTACCCATCAACCTTTTATCCACCAATACATAATCTAATAAACTACTTTCATTACGTGCTACATCATACCTTGTATATTTATTTATCCTCTTTTTCAGAAAATATGTATTACTTATTACCAAATCTCTTTCTACACATAGCTCAATTAAAGGCTCCCCATTTACATTTACCCCTGGCACCCCAAATTTACCTACTACTCCCTCCATAACATTTTTACCCACTTTAGCACTGAAATCCCCAACCACCATTACTCTCACACTTGATTCAAAACTCCCCATGCATTCACTCAACATTTCCCAAAATCTCTCTCTCTCCTCTACACTTCTCTCTTCTCCAGGTGTATACATGCTTATTATAACCCACTTTTCACATCCAATCTTTATTTTACTCCACATAATCCTTGAATTAATACATTTATAGTCCCTCTTTTCCTGCCATAGCTTATCCTTCAACATTATTGCTACTCCTTCTTTAGCTCTAACTCTATTTGAAACCCCTGACCTAATCCCATTTATTCCTCTCCACTGAAACTCTCCCACCCCCTTCAGCTTTGTTTCACTTAAAGCCAGGACATCCAGCTTCTTCTCATTCATAACATCCACAATCATCTCTTTCTTATCATCTGCACAACATCCACGCACATTCAGACTTCCCACTTTGACAATTTTCTTCTTCTTATTCTTTTTAGTAATCTTTACAGGAAAAGGGGTTACTAGCCCATTGTTCCCGGCATTTTAGTTGACTTTTACAACACACATGGCTTACGGAGGAAAGATTCTTATTCCACTTCCCCATGGATATAAAATGATATACCTGAAAGAATCCTTTTGGGTTAGTCTTCGAATCTCTTGCAACTTTAACCTCATAATCTCTTTTTGCTTTTCTAATTCCTTTTTTTATTTCTCTCTTTAACTGAATATATCATTTCTTAATTGCCCCTCTCCTCTTTTGATTTGCCTATATATGCCTCTCTTTTGACCAATCAGATATTTTAATCTATTGTTCATCCATTTAGGATCATTTTTGTTTGATCTGATTTCCCTATTTGGAACATAATTTGACTGAGCAGCTAGAACTATGCCCTGGAAAGCGTCATATCGGCATCCATCACCACCTACCTGATCCTTAGTTAGGTCATTCCAGTTCAGCCCACCTAAGTAATTTTTCAGTCCTATGAAATCAGCCAAGCGGAAGTCAGGGACAGAGACTTGATTGCCATTATTAGGGGAATTCCATGATATATTAAAACTGAGTGATTTGTGATCACTTTCCCCAAGCTCATCATTAACCTCAAGATTATTAATTAGTGTTTCTCTACTGGCAAGAACCAAGTCAAGGAGGTTATTTCCCCTAGTTGGCTCTGTCACAAACTGTTTTAAAAAACAATCCTGGATCGTATCAAGAAAGTCACCTGACTCTAAATTTCCTGTCAAATTGCTCCAGTCAATCTGTCTATAGTTGAAATCTCCCATTAGCACAACATTTTCGTTTGTAGATGCCTTACGAATTTCGTCCCATAGAAGTTTACTGCACTCCTTATCAAGATTTGGGGCCCTGTAAATCACACCCAAAATTAGTTTTTCTCGGCCCTCGAGAAGCTGTAACCAAACAGATTTCAGTGGCTGACGCTTCTAATTTTATATCTTGTCTAACACAACAATTTAAATTGTCTCTGACATACATTGCTACTCCACCACCTTTCCTGTTGACCCTGTCAGTGTGGAATAATTTATAGCCTTGTATGTGACATTCAGAGGGCATCTCTCTATCTTTCAGATTGAGCCAGTCTCTGTTATAGCAATAATATCTATGTTTCCTGCACTTGCAATTAATCTTAGCTCATCTATCTTATTTCTTACACTCCTGCTATTAGTATAGTAAACCTTAAGGGAGCTAGTCCCTTGCTGCCCTCTGCTATCCCCCTTTGTTTGCTGACCTGATCTACTGTTTTTATTTATAAACTTCATGCTGAATGCCTTTTATACATTTTACTGTTTCAAACCCTAGTGTTGCAATCTGCTTGTTTCCCACAACACACGCATACCTCTATCTTCTATCAGTTTAAAATCATAGGCATTCACCAATGGCCTTCTCAATCGAGTCTGCAAGTGCTACCCACCCCAGCCCCAGAGAGATGTACCCCATCCCTTGCATACATATCATGTTTGCCATAAAAGTTGTTCCAGTTGTCAATGAATGGATTGCAAGTTCCTTGCAGTATCTGTCTAGCCAGCAATTTACACCAATTGCCCTAGACAACCATTCATTTCCTACTCCCCTTCTAGGCAAGATGCTATATGATTGGGATCCCTCCCTTAGACTTAATGAAATCTATAGCTGACCTGTACTTATCTAGCAGCTCTTCTCTCCTACCCTTCCCAATATCATTTCCACCAGCACTGAGACAGATAATGGGCTTGTTCCCATTATCTGACATGATATTATCCAGCCTGTTGACTATGTCCCCAACACCAGCTCCAGGGAAGCACACTCTATCTCTCATCTTCTTATCCTATTACAAAAAGCACGGTCAATATATTCTTACTGAGAGTCACCAACCACAAGAATGCCTTACCTCCATTTGCAGGGGCAGTAGTACCCTTACCTTCACTGGCCACTGAAGTACATTCATCCTGAAGAACAGAAAAGCGATTTCCTACCTTCAGATCTTCACTCTTAACTTTCCTTACTCTGATGCGCCTCCCATTACTGTGAACCACTCGCCACTTGTAGAAGGTGCTGGGCTGCACCTCACTGCTGGTAGCCGTTGCTACCTCCCCACCTACAGCCTCCTCACAGCGAGAGACAGACTGCACCTCACTGCTAGAAGCCTCATTTCCCACAACTCCAGCCACCTCACACTCTCTCCCAGACCCATTGAGGTGGACCTTCAGCCTCCTAATCTCCTCCTGGAGAAGCAAGACCTCCTCCTTCAACTCTCCAACCTCAATTTTTAAAACACTGCAGAAGCAAGCCATGCTTTGTAACCGTCCACGCTAATCCCCAAAGCAGCTCAGGGTCTGTGACCTCACGTGACGACTGACCACTGACCACTGGTGGATTACTATAAGCAGTTGGAAATACATATAATAGGTAGTGGATTACTATAAGCAGTAAGTTTTTACGAGGAGAACAAGGCTCAGGTTAGGGTAAGCAAGAGAGTGGGACTATTTCCCAGTAAAAGTAGGACTTAAACAGGGATGTGTGATGTCATCTTGATTTTTTTAAAATATTTACGAATGGGGCTGTAAAAGAAGTGAATGCTAAGGTGCTGGGAAGATATGCAGGGAGCAAAAGACAATAAATCTTATATAAAGTGAGAGTTGCCACTGCCATTCTATGCTATTAACACACTTCTTTTGGGAGGGTATGTAAAAGAAGGAAATTAAAAATGAAGAGAAAAAAGCAAGTTGATGAGAGCAACAACAAGCCTAAGCAATGAAAGATCAGAATATCAGACTGAGGAGAGGGAATATGGTGGGAGAAGATGTCAGGAGATGGGTCCATGAAAAACAAGGTAAACCATAGAACAGAGGGGAGAGGAGAGAAATTTAGGTGGTATGCTGAGGCATCTACTGAAAGAGGTTTATCTATAAAGGAATGTACCAGGGTATAGTAATAGTATATAGATGTGAGGCAGGCTTTGAACATTGCACCAAAGAAGAAGCTAAACTTTCAGTGTAGAACTCAGAAGACAGGTGAAGGAGTCAGAGGACTGAAGGGCTAAAGAAAAACACTATTTGTCTTACCCTTTCTTGTGCATGACTTATGGTTTGTCTTTGACTATACAGGTCATTCAGTATCTGTGCCCCAATGTGCTCAGTTTCCAAAGCAATCTTGTGACCCTGTGACAATCGCACAGATGTTCGTTCCAAGGTCTCAGTGTTGTCGAGGAGTGATTGTCGCTGCTCTTCTCCAACACTTACACCAGCATACCCATCTTCCAGAAGCTCTGCTCTCATACTAGCTGTAAAAGATATGATATACAGTGTACTCGAACAGCTCCACACTCGAACAATTCAGTATCTGAATGCTTTGTTCGGTAAACAAATCACTCAGTAGTCGACCGTTTGCTTGGCACTCCACCAAATAAACACAACTTGCCAGAACTTTGGTGTAAACTATTTAGCATTTTTTTTTATATTATTTGTATAAATAAGTCACCATGGGGCCTAAGAGGGTTAGTGATAACAGACAACCAAAAAGAAAATTGGTTGTGAAAAATTTGTTCTGTACTTGAACAGATTGGCACTCAAAGAGACTTCTGGAACCAATTAAGTTGAGTGTCGAGGTTCCACTGTATATATTATATGCAGACACATATATGTATTTTAACATTATTCACTGAGGTAAAAAGGGGAATGAATGAGAGTACGCTGATACCAACACATTTATATGGGTGTGAAGCATGGGTTGTGAATGTTGTGTCTGAAGACAACATGTGGTGTATATATTATGCAGAGAATTCATAGCTTGGAGGTGCAGAGTTACTAGAAGTATTATCCAGAGGGCTGAAAAGGGTTTGTTTAGGCAGTCTGGACATTCAAAGAGGGTGGAGCAAAAAAAGAATGACTTGGAAGGTGTATAAATTTGCAGTGGGGGGAAGGCAGGGTAGGGGTCACCCTAGGAAAGCTGAAGGGTTTTCTAAAAGAAGTTTTGTAAAAGAGGTTTTGTGCACAATGGTCTTGGACATCCAACAGATATGTATGAATGTGTTAGAGAGGAGTGGAGGCAAATGGTTTTGGGCTTGAAGAGCTGTTGGAGTGTGAGCAAGGTAAGGTAACACTTTGTGAAGGAATTCAGGGAAACCAGTTAGCTGGATTTGAGAGGTTTGGGATATTGGTTGTTTGAAGTGACATCTGAACTGCTGTATCTGGGCACCTCTGCAAAGACAATGATTATGTGTGAATGATCGTGAAAGTGTTGAATGATAGTGAGAGTGTTTTTTTTTTTGGGGTCACTCTGCCTTGGTGGGAGACGGCTGAAGTGTTAAAAAAAAAAAATTATTAGAAGTCACCTTAATGAGTATAATCTGATTAATGAGTTTCAGCATAGATTCAATACAGATCGTTACTGTCTGACAAATTTACTAACATTCTTTAATAAAGTATTTGAGGCAATAGATAATGATAAAGAATATGTTGTGGTTTATTTGGATTTCAGTAAGGCTTTTGATAGGGTACCTCACAAAAGGCTAAGAAAAGTGGCAGCTTATGGATAAGAGGTAAAGTTCTAACATGGATCGAGGCTTGGCTGACCAATAGAAGGCAGCAAATTTACATTAATGGGTTAGGCCTGAATGGGGACTAGTCACTAGTGGCATTCCACAGGGATCAGTTTTGGGTCCACTGTTGTTCATAATTTACGAGTGACACAAGTAAATTTGCTGATGACACAAAAATAGGGTGAATAATAGATTCTAAAGAGGACAACAATGAACTTAGCAGAATTTAAACAAATTAAAGTTATGGTCTGAAAAGTGGCAGATGCAGTTCATTGAGGACAAGTATAAAATCCTAGTGCTTGGGAATGAAAATAACCCTAATAAACTAGGTGATGTAGAGCTTAATCATACAGAATGCAAAAAAGACTTGGGAGTCATGGTAAGCAGAGATCTGAAGCCAAGACAACAGTGATTAAGTGTGTGCAATAAGGCTAACAGCTTACTTGGATTTACATAAAGAAGTGTAAATTAATTAAGAATCAGAAAAAATGGTTTTAAATTAGATAACTTTAGATTTAGAAAGGATGTAGGTAGGTACTGTTTTTCAAACAGTTTTCAATGAGTGGAACAATCTGCTGAGTAGGGTAATTAAGGCTTAAGACCTTGGGCAGCTTTAAAATGAGATCAGACAAATATATGAGTGAAAAGGACTGGGTTTGATTAGTACCTGAGATACTGAAGCAAATTCTTCAGCAACTCTGGGACAGATGCAAGGGTGGTTTTGACAAGGACCTGCCATGCATGGGCCAGTAAGCCTGCTGCAATGTTCCTCTATTCTTATGTTCTTAAATTGTTTCAGTTCTGTGGAGATAGCAGGTTAGAATTCCTGCTTCAAAGCTGAGCATGTCATAGATTCACAGCTGTGTGTGTGTCACAGACTCACAGATGTGTGTGTGTCACAGACTCACAGCTGTGTGTGTGTGTGTCATAGGTTCACAGCTGTGTGTGTCATAGACTCACAGCTGTGTGTGTCAAAGATGACAACTAAAATGCCAACAAGGGCTGGGTTAACTCCATAACTATCAAAACGCAGATCTATACTGTTACCGCCAGCACTCCAAACGTAGATCAACGTTTTAGTTTTCTTGCCTCCAAATTTGGCACGATTGGCCCAAGATGCCTGGTCAGTATAGAATGGGTCTTAACACTCAGTGTGCACAGTATTAAAAAAATCTGAGACCACTTAGTACCTTGTGGGAGCACCAGTTCAAATGAGCTCCAGCTAGAGCAAACAGCTTGGCAAACACCAGGGATTCACTAATGTCATGTCATATTAACACTCCCCTTTAACAGGAAAGTGATGTTGACCGTGAGTTTAGTGGCTTTGAGACAGATGTGGCCACATGCTATTGCCTATTAAATCTTAAGTTAGTCCTAAGTTTGCCCAAGATAATTAGATTTGTATCAAATTATATATCTAATAATGTATGCAATAAGATCACAGTAAACAGGTGATTTTAGATCTGATTTTGATTTGAGGAAATATCAAAAACCTCAATAATAACCTGTGTGCAACATTTGTGCAACATCCTTTCAATTTTGATACCACTGGTAGTGTCATCCTTCCAGAATGTCCTATAACCTATGCCCTAAGTAAAGAGAAACAATTCTGGAACGTGTCTAATACATGTTCAACAGGCTGGGTGGCTGGCTTGCAGGGTGGCCAGTGGCTGGCTAGGTGGATGGGTGGGTGGGTGGCTGAGTGACTGATTGGCTGTCTCTATCTCTGTTTATCTCGGTCTCTATCTCTGTGTCTCTCTCTCTGTCAATAAATATGTTTGTCTATCTCTGTCTCTGTATCTGTGTCTCTGTATCTGTGTGTGTCTGTATCTCTGTCTCTCTCTGTATCTCTGTCTGTATCTCTGTCTCTGTATCTCTGCATGTCTGTTTCTCTGTATCTCTGTATATCTGAATCTCTGTGTCTTTGTATCTCTGCATCTCTGTATCTCTGTCTCTCTGTATCTGTCTCTCTCTACTCACCTAGTTGTACTCACCTAGTTGAGGTTGCAGGGGTCGAGTCCAAACCCCTGACCCCGCCTCTTCACTGGTCGCTACTAGGTCACTCTCCCTGAACCGTGAGCTTTATCATACCTCTGCTTAAAGCTATGTATGGATCCTGCCTCCACTACATTGCTTCCCAAACTATTCCACTTCCTGACTACTCTGTGGCTGAAGAAATACTTCCTGACATCCCTGTGATTCATCTGTGTCTTCAACTTCCAACTGTGTCCCCTTGTTGCTGTGTCCCATCTCTGGAACATCCTGTCTTTGTCCACCTCATCAATTCCTCTCAGTATTTTGTATGTCGTTATCATGTCCCCCCATCTCTCCTGTCCTCCAGTGTCGTCAGGTTGATTTCCCTCAACCTCTCCTCGTAGGACATACCTCTTAGCTCTGGAACTAGTCTTGTTGCAAACCTTTGCACTTTCTCTAGTTTCTTTACGTGCTTGGCTAGGTGTGGGTTCCAAACTGGTGCTGCATACTCCAATATGGGCCTAACGTACATGGTGTACAGGGTCCTGAACGATTCCTTATTAAGATGTCGGAATGCTGTTCTGAGGTTTGCTAGGTGCCCATATGCTGCAGCAGTTATTTGGTTGATGTGCGCTTCAGGAGATGTGCCTGGTGTTATACTCACCCCAAGATCTTTTTCCTTGAGTGAGGTTTGTAGTCTCTGGCCCCCTAGACTGTACTCCGTCTGCGGTCTTCTTTGCCCTTCCCCAATCTTCATGACTTTGCACTTGGTGGGGTTGAACTCCAGGAGCTAATTGCTGGACCAGGTCTGCAGCCTGTCCAGATCCCTTTGTAGTTCTGCCTGGTCTTCGATCGAATGAATTCTTCTCATCAACTTCACGTCATCTGCAAACAGGGACACTTCGGAGTCTATTCCTTCTGTCATATCGTATCTCTGTATCTGTGTCTCTGTGTCTCTGTATCTCTGTGTGTCTGTGTCTCTGTATCTCTGTCTCTGTATCTCTGTCTCTGTATCTCTGTGTCTCTGTATCTGTGTCTCTGTATCTCTGTGTCTCTGTATATCTGTGTCTCTGTATATCTGTGTCTCTGTATATCTGTGTCTCTGTATCTGTGTCTCTGTATCTCTGCATCTCTGTGTCTTTGTATCTCTGTGTCTTTGTATCTCTGTGTCTTTGTATCTCTGTATCTCTGTGTGTCTGTATCTGTGTCTGTGTGTCTGTATCTGTGTCTGTGTCTCTGTATCTCTATGTCTATCTCTGTCTATGTCTATCTCTATCTCTGTCTATGTCTATCTCTATCTCTGTCTCACAGGTACATGTAAATACAATAATACTTAGTGTAAATTACCTAGAATAACCCCCAAAATCCAGACTAAGTGCTATACTGTGCTTGTAGCTATAAGGCATAATAAGCATGAATGGCAAGTAATACACGTTTTCAATTGTTCAGGAATCAGACATGATGACTCTGCAGTGTGTGTAATACCTATTGAAAATGAAAATGTTTATTTCCTTGCAAAGCTTACAATGTGTAGTTTACAAATAAATATTAATTACAAAGAAGGCCACTAGCATGCCTGGGCATTTTGGGCAGACTAACCCTAATTCTTACTCTATATTCATACAGGTTATGGAGCAGTACATTTTAATATACAGTGGAACCCTGAGTTTCGGCTGCCCTGAGTATTGGCCGCTTCGAGTTTCGACTGCAATTTTCGGCTAAATTTTGTCCCGAGTTTCAGCCTGTGCCCCGTGTTTCGGCCGGCGTAC